GTAACCCTATTCAGCTCCCATGGAAGGTTCTGGGGCAAATGACCAATCATAGTGCAGTGACACAATGAGGGCCTGATTCTGACCACATTTATACAGGGGTGAACCTGGAGTGACTCCATTGAAGCCAATAGAGTGCCACTGAGGTGAAAACAGAACTGGTCCCTGGTGCGTGCTAGTCACAAAGCAAGATTTAGGCTGGCTGAATTCATCTTTAGCTGTGACTTCACTGAAGTCTTTGGAGTTACACAAGAGATTAATTTATCTGGATGCAATCATGGTAAAGTATCTCCTCTTATTTCTGTCCCACGGAACCCCACCCAAGCTTAGCTAATGAATCTCCATCTTTGCTCTTCTGCCCATGGGTCTGCCTTCCCCCCACAGTTCTGCCAATGGGCTAACCTGCAGTACCCTCTGCAGATAATACCCCTAATCCTTACCAGCGACACCCTGTATTTCCCTGTTCTGGGCTCCCATACCATTGGGCCAATGCATCTCACTCCTGCTCTGAAGTAACATAGTCCTAGGACTCTCACCCAGCTATATGGAGGAGCTTAGACCCTGACTTTCAGACCTCTTATTTTTCTCTTGATTAATTTTAAATGGAGTAGCTGAGACCTGTCCACAATTCAGATTGAAACATGCTTCCCACTATAAACCCAATTTTGCTTCCTGTCCCTACAAAAGCCTCAGAAAAGGTTAACAACACTCGCATGTTGCATGTGTGATCTGTGACCAGCTAAGACTTGTTTGCAGACAGTTGAGGTGATGGGGAAGAAGCTGTTTATGTGCTAGGGAACCTACATTGCTTTAGGACTTTTATGTGCATGTGAAAGCAATTCCCAATAACTAGTAAATGATTAGGGAAGGATGCACACAGCTGTTTGTTGTTTAGAGGGGGAATTTATAAAAAAAAGTAATTATTAAAACTGCAGGCTATCGAATGTGGAGGGATCTTGTAGGGCTGTCTTATATGTGGCTTTTTTGATGGAATCAACTCAGCCATCACTAGTTTGTGACATTGCTTCATCAAATCATGATGACATTTTGGTGCTACAACATCCCACTACTGCCAGACCTCAACCCATTGCAGTACGCAAATGACAATGCAGTTTCCAACTCTTGTGATGTGACATAACCACATAATGACATTACTACTTGCCTCAAAAGTGTTTTGGAGTCCCACAAAAGTCTCACAAGCGGTCTTTATAGCAGGTGTGACTGCCTCATTAGACAGGTAACGATTTTAGAAAGAATAAGGTGAGCAGCAATCCCATTTCATAAAAATTATTGAAATAAAGAAAACAGAGAACTAGCCAAGTTCAGAGCTGGGGTAAGCAGGTGCAGCTCCAATGAATTGGTATTTAGCTCAGTGGAATTGCATCTGCCCAAATCTGAATTTGGCTCAGTACCTTTATGATTTTTCACAAGTGAAAAATCTGTCCTTCTGTTAAAAACAGAGAAGATAAATAAATAGCCTTTGAAATCCAAGCAACTCTGACTATTATTGAGTTCTATTTTCAGCCAGGGTTACAGGTGGATGATTAGTCAACTTCCAAACATCCTCTTCCTTGTCCTTTAAAGATTCAATTAGGATTAGCTTTTTGCTGTTGCTGAGCTTCTAAAAATTCCCCAGCATCATCCACATCAAAATAAATAGCTTTATTTACATCCAACCTCACACGTAATTTAGCTGGATACAGAAAAGCCAGTCCCCTCAAAGCAGACCCTAAAATCATACAACATTTCCTGATGTCTTTTGTCTCAAAGAAAAGATGCAGCACTTCCTGCTAGCTTACTCCTTAGCCCCACTCACTTTGACTGATGCATCTCAAGACCTGACCAGCACTTATGCACACACTGGTCTAGTCTTGAGTGTAGAGACAGTCAGTGGGGTTCATGGGCCATAAACTCAGCAGATGTAAATCATAGTAGCTTTGCTAAAATCAGTGCAAGTATGCCCATTTACACGAACTGAGGAGCTGACCCTGTATGTTCATATGTGTGATGACTGAAGTGATGGAGACCAAGCTAGGATGGTCAATGGACCATGTTTAGAAAATTAAAAGAGCAGTACCACTAATGATGTTTCTGTATGGTTAGGGTAGTGTGATTAAAGGGACTGGGGGTATGTCTACACTACAAAGTTAGTTCGAACTAACGGACGTTAGTTCGAACTAACTTTAATAGGTGCTACACTAGCGCTCCGCTAGTTCGAATTTGAATCGAACTAGCGGAGCGCTTAGTTCGAACTAGGTAAACCTCATTTTACGAGGACTAAAGCCTAGTTCAAACTAGCTAGTTCGAATTAAGGGGTGTGTAGCCCCTTAATTCGAACTAGTGGGAGGCTAGCCCTCCCCAGGTTTCCCTGGTGGCCACTCTGGCCAACACCAGGGAAACTCTATTGCCCCCCTCCCGGCCCCGGAGCCCTTAAAGGGCCACGGGCTGGCTACACTTCTTTGCAAGCGGGGCACCCCTTAGAACTGTGTGTCCGGGGTGGGGGTCGGGACCCTTTAAGCGCAGCCCTCGGCTAGCCTGAGACAGTATCTCCATGCTCTAAGTCCTCCTTTTATGCCCTGCCGGCACTGCTTCCGGCCATCCTTAAGCCCTGTTCAGAGTCCACTCAATGTGGACTTACTAGTTCGAACTAGCAAAACGCTAGTTCGAACTAGTTTTTAGTTCTAGATGCGTTAGTTCGAACTAGCTTAGTTCGAATTAACTAATTCGAACTAAGTTAGTTCGAACTAGCGCTGTAGTGTAGACGTACCCTGGAAGATCAAAGAGAAAGCGCCTTTAAAAGATCTGTGATAAACTGGGGAGATGGCAGGATGCCAGAAAGGTTTATCAAATCCTGCCATCCTATGCTTCAGTTCTGGAATTAGGCTCAGGTCTGGGTCAACACCATTCCATGCCAAGTTTTTCCTCCTATATTTGTGTGTCATGGGCTGGATCCTCAGCTAGTGAAAATTGGCATAGCACTGGTGACTTTTCACCAGCAGAGAACCTGGCCTCTTGCTTCCTGTTGCAGGATGAAAGTGGCCCAGGTACTTTGCTAACTCCGAGCACTCAGCTTTGCCCAGCCTTTCTATGGGAATGTTATGCTTTTGTGAGTTAGGTTACATTTGTCTTGGAAATAGGGAGCAGAGGGGGCTGCTGTGCTGTTATGAGAGACCTGGATACAATGGATCTGATTCTGCTGTCACATATGCCTTAGGTGCTTGATTTACACCAGAGTATATGAGCTCAAAGTCGGGCCCTTCAGGTATGAATAGCTAAAGTGGGGGGAGTTGTGATGTCCAGGGGACATTACACTGGACATCCTTTTCCCCATTGCTGGTGGTTGCTGATCATGAAGAAGTTAAAGATCACAAGGCACTTCTAGAAGTGCATCACCAGCATCCTAGCCAGCATCCCTTCCCACAGTGAATGAAGTTCTAATAGCTGCCTCTATGTGCATTCCATTGCTGAGCTGAGAATGGCTGGGGTCTTTGCTAGGCTGTCACTGAGCCATCAGGATCTCTCTCTGCTGGAGAGAGTGCTTTGAGACCCCGAGGTATGAACCTGAAATTCTCTGTCCGAGACATCCCAAGGGTAAGCACCTTAGCTCAAAATGGGTGTCTGTCAAGCATGAGAGCGTTAGAGAAGGAGCTTGTAGCACGTGTGTGTATAAGGCTATTAGTGCAGGAGAGCACATGGGTGTCTTTTAAAGAGAGAGTATGCGAGACAGCATGATTTGTGAATGTGTTGGTAAGTGTGTAATTTTGTTCATGAAGAGAGCATGTGAGTGTACAAGAAGGCATATGTTTGTGATTAATAGGATATGATGACGTTATGTAGAATGCACCTGTTAACTAACCCTCTTGCTTCCTTCAGCAAATACCTACTTACTTAATTTCCCCTCGGATGTTTATTACAAGTGGAAATAATCATGCAGCAAAATTCCTTTTAGCGCCAAGAGCAACACAAATTCTGTTGTAAGAATGTTTGACTCTTTTGGCTTTCTTCTGCACTCAGAGACCGAAGATATATCTCCCTCCAGAGCAAGTGGGATGGCAGGGCAGGGGAAAAAATGCTGAAAGTTGCAACAGTGAAAGTCTCAGTCTCAGTTTTTAAAATTTCTGTTGAATACTGAACCTCCTGTAGGAATTTCTCTCCCCACTTCTATGTGAATGTAGGGACATCACCAATATTAATTATGTTTAGCATTGAAGGTTTTTAAAATTTCTGTTGAATACTGAATTGTCAGTGCCTTATTAGATTTTTTCCCCTGTCTTTGATACACAGCCAAGAAAGGAGTTGCAAGCTAGCTGTCTCCGCCCCTTTTCTCTTCTCCTTTAAAAGAGCACTGAAAGGGTGGCACCTTATTCTCTTTCTTGCAGACTAAAATAAAGATCCACCCGCTCTCTCCCTGCTACTCTTTCTCCTTCCACTTGATTTTTACCCTTTTTCTTGTTGCAACAGAGCACAAGAGGCAGCGGCAGCAGCGCGGCTGAGACTTATCAAGACTCAACACACACAGAATCCAGCAAAGACATTTGCTCACCTGTCTTCAAAACCAAATCAAACAAATCAGACCTCATATACAATCAAACTACCAGCAACATTTTGAAAGAAAAGATGCTGAAACCAAAAAATATTTTAGGGGGAAAATTCAACTTTTTCTTTTAAGAAAATTATGCCAGAGGAAGAAAAACATCATTAAAAATAATTAAGCCAAAAAAAATTAAGAAAGGTTTATTTTCTGATTTTGCATAAGCATTTAGGAAAACTTGATTTCAGACTTTTGGGGTGTTGCAAATCTTTTTTACATTTTTGTGTAGGACTTTTTTCTTCAAAAGAACAAAAATTAAGAAGAAAAAAATAATTTGTGTGCAGTATCTGATAAAAGGAAATACTGAAAGATTTCTTGCAGCAAGGGGGAAAGAGACTTTGGATGCACACATTTTTTGGGGGGGACTGCCTTTATTTTTTATTTATACTTCT